AGAAGCACTAGTCTTTTCATTCTAGATGCGTTCACATGTAAGCAGGTCACGTCGCACTCGGCTGCGAACCTTTCTAAGGAGCACAAAAAATCAGTTTCAAAACATGTCGTCTGCAAACAGCAACCTTCTCGACCTCACATCTCCTACACCGATACCCTCATCTGACTATGCAACGAGTCTCCAAATACCGCTTAAACTGGTATTAAGGTTAACTAAGGTATCATCATGTATTCCATTTAATATTTATGAACTGCAAGCCATTAGCGAAAAACATCTGGAAAAGTTGAAATGCTAATTGGAGGGTTTTTCACATTTGCGTAAACTCATATCCTATGGATATTTTTCAGTTTGTTTATCGACGCATTCTGAAAAGTCAGCTGTCATCTCTGTGAAAAACTTAAGAAATTGGGTTGAATTTAAAGTGAACTGCACTATATTGTTAAAATTTCGGCAAGAACACTAAAAACAAACTTTAGCGAATGAACTTGCAGGTTAGCTACAAAGTTTGCATTAGCGCAGCTATCATTTACTGCAGTCGCATTCCATATATCATATAATTCTTTGAGCATTAAAGCAAAAAATGTGCTGGGTTAGGAGATAATTCGGTTTCCAAGAATATCTTTACTGCGTTTAAAAATACTCTTGCTCAAGATATGCATTGGAATATCAATTTTCCAATTTAATGGGAATATTGCAAGAATAATATTTATATTATTTATCTGGTCAGCTTTTGAAACAACCTCAACTGCAGTAAAAGTACATCATATTGGCCGAAAAGTTGTTAAGTTGTTGAATTGCGAAAATTCGAAATCAGGAACAGCACGACATCCTGGTATCATTATACTAAAATGGGCGAGAAGTGCAGCCGTCCCTTTGAAGAAATAATTTGAGGAAAGTAAAGCGAATACGATAGTCCCTTGTGACCGTCATAGTTGCTAATTAAGGGCATTTTTTAGACGCACGAACCAAGAATTTTGGGCAAATGGCATTAAGAGTATCAATATGGCTTCAGCCGTATCTCATGATAGCTACTGTCTCTTCTAACTTCAAAGAATTCAAACAATGTCAGAAAAATAGTTTTTTCCCAGTATACCGCTCGCATGGAATCCAGTGAACGAATTTTCTCATTTTATCGGTGACACGCAACATTGTCACCTTAATCAAAGGCAATCAAGAAATGACTATAAGTTGATCGAATACAAACGGTCCTACTCAAACTTGAAAGACAGCATAATGTATAGTCCTAAATTCTACTGAACTGAGGATGACGCTAATTACCGGCCGTTCAAAGCAATATGGTGCTTGTTGCTTGCAAAAAATTTTCTTCGTCAAGGAAGCTGAAGCTCAATGTAGGAGGCATCTTAGTTTCAAGTTGGCATCCTCACTTGCAACGTTCCATCGAGGTTCACTAACGCTTAATCAAGTTTAGCACTTTGACAAAGGACATATAGCTCTTTTACTGACAGAATTTTCCGTAACAATCAGCTTAATGACACTATTTTACAATAGATATACTCACTGATTATCGAGACAATTTTCTGACTGCGATTCTGAGTGAAGTAACAGAAGATTCATTTGTATATCTGTTGGTGCACAAGACTGTACAAATATACACATATTACAATATGAAAGGTATTGAAAGCTAAAAGTTTGCTATCAAATCCGTAATAACAGGATTTATTTCTGATAATATACACATATATATGTATGATTAACTAACAATGGTCTTATTTGCTACTCCACAGCACAAGGCTGGAGCAGCTATTGACCACATGGACATAAGGAGTTACTTTCGAACTGACTGTTACGGTGCTCTGTTTTCTCACGAACCAGAGTCTGAAGAGCTGCTGCTAGTTGACGGCAGATCATACTTTGTGGAAGATCGACGATTTTCGTCCTCCTTTCTCAGGCGCTGGAGGTAATCACTCTGAGCTCTAATAATTTCTGCCGGGGAAGAACAAGACGCATACACCTTCAGCATGACTTCATTCAACGACATGAAGCCGTGTCCCCACTTGAATTTCGAAATCAGTTCATTCGCATCATCCGAAAAACCTAAAAAATTGGAAACTTCTAAACATGATTATATTCATCTTCAATCACTCACTAGCATTTCGAGAAAAAAATGCTTCACGCCTAATTCACCTAATAAGTTTGTCTTCAGACTAAATCCTATTTAATACACCAAATCCGGTAAGCATTACTGTTTGGTTACCATAACAGACCCTATATATGAAAACACATAATGGTACACAGCAGAAAGTGCAGGCGAGAGAGCATTAAATCATGATTTTGTCGTCGCCATTTTAACCGCTTCACGAAAGCGCATGCTGCTTAAAATTCAGCTGGTCTATTCATTTACATATTTTGCACTTTGATATTAGAGGATTTCTCTACATGAAGAAAAGATTCCGCATCGATAAGAGACCCCCCCACCATCTTTCATATAATGTGCTGGCCATCGACCGTCAGTGAAAGTTTGCTGCCTCCTGCACATCACTGTCAATTAATTGCCATTTGTAATCTTAAATATGTTTATGGGATTAGTGACGTAAAATAGTTAAAAAAAAATAAGCGTGTACTTAGACCTAGCGTGTATTTAGACCACATTTTTGATGTTTTCTAAAGTAAAAAAAGTAGCTCTCTTGAAACATTGCTTCTGACAAGTAGGAGGTTGATCCAGCAAGTAAAGTAATGCCAGATACATAGAGCACTACAAGCGCTGAAACGGACTCCTTGGCTCCTTAAAATGAACCTTTACACATCTAAGTGAAATAAAGCAGAGCAATAAGTCCTGAAATTCTGTTTCTGATGACTGAAGTGCATCTTCTTTTGATTACTAAAATCTGAAAAGTACCTGCCTAAAATGTAAAGTGCTGCACATAAAGCCTCAGCGCACGACAGCTGGCAAGGCTTGCCATAGTTGACGGGGTTGGCAGCTACCAAGTATGGCAAAAGCCTAGGATAGCTTCCTTGGGCTTTATGCAGAGGGGTGTCATCGATTCTCTTCCAAGAACAATCCACAACGGCAATACCACGTTCCATCGCGATCAGCCTATAAATGTAAAATTGCATCAAACAGCGAAGTCAACGTATATCGATCGACGACTACAGTGGAAAATAAATGGATAAAAAATAAATAATATCGAATAATAAATATAATTAATGCGATTTCTGATACTATTTTTGGAAAATACTCTGGAAACAAAGCAAACATTTTAAAGTCTTCCCATATTGCAGACAAAAAACATGTAGGATTTTTCAAGTAAAAGAACTGTCAAGGCAGTCGAAACTTCGTCCTTCGTTGCTCGAGGTCAATCTTTGTCAATTTTATTCACGAATTCCCTCAAGCAAGGGATTTACTACACCTTGCTTCATATCTGGGATGCTCAGTCCTCAGAGCGTCGAGCTCAGCCCTAGTTCAAGCCCTGGTCGCGGTCACTTGCCCTTTTTTCTTATGAGGTTGATAAATGAGTACCACTCTGTGGAAAACAGGAAACTACACGCTACGCTAGCCACACGGCTATAGATTTTTCCTTTAAAATAAGGCACTCCTAGTTAATGGCATAGAAATAAAAATCAGCACCGCAACATCAACTTCATGGATAAAAGGCTGTTAAAATGGAAGCTATCAAAGCGAAGAAAGACATTCTAACGGTGATAAACTTTCTTCCCCTTTTCCTATGTGGCGCTGACTGCGCATAATTTAAATAGATCTATTTAAAAACTGTTGCATGAATCGCATTAAGCGATTTCGAAATTTTATGAAAAACATCATTAAACATCATTTGTCTCAGTTTGTAGTAATCAAGTATCAATGCCCATTAATTTGGGAAAATAGTAATATGTATATTATATGTGTAACGAGCTCACATTTCTACAAAGCCGCATACCCTAATGTTATTAAGTTATCATCGTCATTCAAGACTAACGGTTTTCTAGCACAGAATCGCTAAAAATCTGAATAAGTGACGGATAATAACAGTAAGAGTTCAGCGACCTGAAAGTCATGGATATGCCATTTTTTAAATGTCAGAGAGCTGCTTTTTGGATACTGCCAGAACCGTACGAAAAATGCAGGATATGACATATGCAGTACATATAAGCAATTGGATGTACACAACCCTAGGGTACTGATAAAATTTGGCAGCTGCGATGATCTGAGCAAGCCTTGCGAACTCTTCCAAAAAGAGAATGAGAAACAACTACTACTTGCCCAATCGATCAACCGAAAGTCCCAAAGTCGAACAAGATTAACATGGAGAAATGGTCTCGAAAAACTCTGATCCAGACTCGGGTTATCTTTTGCTGATACTATATCAGCAACTTTGGAAACACTGTGACGAGTCAGCCTCAAAAACCCGAAAGGACAAATGGTCGTCGAAACTGACCGACTGACAAAATTCAGTTCCAATGACCAGTAATATACTAATTCCAACAAAGAATACTCGTTTTGGATTTGTTTGGTTATGTCTTGAAGAAGTCCATTATCGTGTGGCTGCAACATAAGCGAAACAAAATTAAATGTATTTTAAAATCGACCATATATCCAACACCACTGAATCCGAACATCACTTGTATTATATAATGGCCTTTCTTAATGAAATAGGCAATTTCCTAGCATTGCTGAAAAACAGAACAAGAAGTTTATTAGTACATAACACGATATAGTTCTCTCGGACAGTAGACCGATACTAACATTTTGACCCTTATTCACGGTCAGTAGGTACACGAGGTTTGGTAGTTGTTCAGATGGCTGTGTAGAGTCAAGAGAAGCAAATTACTCGC